GGAAGACTCAAATTCAATCAACCTAGTTAGAACTAATTTAGTTTGAAGTTTTCTTACTCTCCAGAAAATTCCAGAAAATAATTGGTTCAAGTACTAAAAACATTGAGTTAGATCATTTAATTATTTCGTCGGAAAACTACTGTTCTATTATCTCACTATATTTTGTTTTATACAAATTTTAAAATAGATGGCCTTGAAACAAATGGTTCATCACTGAGCTACGGTTACTAGAATAGGCCAATTTCCAACCTGAACATCTGGATTAGGTCCAAAATAATTCCCAACCTACCCAACCCACCCAATCTAATCCACAAAGATCCTTGCCAGAATCAGAAATATCTGACAAACAATATTACGCCACATAAACCCTTCCCTCAGATGAGCAAAAATCTGAAAGGAATTTCAACATAAAAAAAGATAAAACAATGAAACTAAAACCAATAATATTTTTATAATAAGAAAAATCAATGACATTAATATGTGTTAGTTAAACGAACTTTAGCGATCAGCCTTTCAACAATATATTTGAAGTATCAATAACCTCAAGAACTGACCTGTGATTCATGTGCATCACGAATGGATTGATCTAACTTGTTAAAAGTCTCTGAATCAGCTGTGGGAGCATTGTCAAATGCGACCACAACAAATGGATCATCATACCTGATGCAATAACAATATATTTTTTTATAAGAACGAATGAGATATAAGGCAAACTTCCTCCAATTGGTACAAATCTTACTATTGTAAAAATAACAAAGTGCCGATACATATAAGATGCTAAGATGCTGTAAGACCGTTATCAGAGATGGAATAGTTGCTAGCAATCAAGATTTCTTGGAAAGTAAATCAAGAGCATTCACAAAAACATCCAGTGCCAACAACTAATTTCCATCTAGATCATAACATTGTGTCGTAGCCTAGCAGAGAAGTTGACACAAAATTCTAGCTCAAATGGACTATGATAAGTATATTATTTTAGTCACCAAATTCACAATCATGGATTGAATTATTTCATACCGATCAAAATCAGGTAGAAGAGGTAAAACTTCCACAGGATATAAGTTCTTATTGGTTGCATGAACAGGGCGTGACTTGCATGCCTCGAATGATGCATCAATTTCCTTAATTTTCCTTTCCCTGGAAAACATAAGTCATTCAGTAAAGAATATGATCACACGAAATACAACTTTGGTATATTCTTTTAAAAAAATCTCTTGATGTTAAAAGACAAACCTATTATTGAGGTTCTCGAGAATATTGCGCCCTCCCTTCATTTCTCGCAGTTCTTTGGCTTGTTTTTCAGTTAAAGACTGCAGATGCAATACTTGTTAGCACAGACACAACTACATAAAAATTATTTGTATGAAAGAACCTTGGTATCAATACCTGTTTCGTGGATTCTATGCTAAGAGGAGAGATGTACTGGGTCTTAACAAGCCAGGCAACACCTTTATCAGTAGGACGTTCTTTTCTTTTAATACCACCATCCTTTTTAACCGGAGTTTTCAATACATCATCACGTAATAATTCCTCATCTTCAGGAGCAAGGGGTATTCTAACACTAGGAGGGCTATTAAACATACATGGAAAAAAGTTAGAAGAATGGCACACACATAATAGTAATATTTTAAAGAAAGTATTTATATGGTCCATACTTGTATACACTGAGGTCAAGCAAATCCAGAGGTATTCCAAGATCCGGCTCTACATAAAGCTGAGGTTTGTACGTTTTCTCTAGTGAAGTGATTGTATATCTTGTATAGCTGCAACATCCCAAAAAATAGAAGATGCCACCTCATATTACTTAAATCAAACCTATTTGCAAGGTAATAAAAGATAAGAAGCACCGAAAGACAAGAAATTCAATAATTGTAAGTGGAAACAACCAATACAACCCAAACACAGTGGAAGTCCAACCTATTTTTCACAGAATAGGTCACTGGCGAAACTTAAATGTTAATACACATCTGACATGAATTCCCTTATGTCTTTCAAATAATGCTTTGCATAGAAGAATAAATCTGAGAGCTAAACCATCACATAATTCTATTCTAAACTACATTTTTTCCAACATAGGATAAAGGAACAAAGTGCACACCCAGCTTCTTGAGATGGACCTTTTAGAACTCAAGTACACCATCGAACAAACCTGGAATATCCTGTTCAAGTAAGGTTATCTATCTAGGTGAACATTAATAAGCGAATACCTCAAATTTTAGCTTTTTGAGTTTTCAATATCACAATTAGGTGCACTTATTGACCTTGCTCAATTTCCCTTATGCCTTGCAAAGACGTTTCACTCAATTTCTACTATTTCATTTTTTGCTCAATATCACAACAAGGATAATCTTTGTGCTAAACCAAATAATTCTAAATTCTTCAGACCACATAATAGATTTACCAGCAAAGTGAGGGGCAAGATCAAAGGGAGAACATAACATAAATGGAAACATACCCCACATATCAGTAAACCAAAAGCTGTACTTCTATTCAAAGTTTGGAGGCAAAAGAAAAGAATACATACTGATCCTTCTCTTTCCGCAGCGACATGAGTTTTGGCTGAGCACTTGTATCTGGAAGCTCGTTCCGGAATCTTTGCAATGCATGGACGTCAAAGTACAATATCATTATCCATAAGAGAACAAAAATTAATGAAGCATCCACAAGAGAAGAGTGCGACAATGATAATAATAACTACAAGGAATAAACGGAAACTGAGCATTCCGCTCATTCGCTCATCCAACGAACTCTTAGTAGATGTCAATAATTATAGCCAAAATGGTACTGAATTAAAACCAGATAATAACAACGAAAATATTTACATACTCACTTCAACTTGCACAAAAATGTCGTTGGCTTCTTCAACCTATTTTCTATCCTCTCACCACTAAGAAATGGAGTGGCCTTCCTTTCCCCCATTCGGGACCCCACAATTGATCCATGCCCCTTCCCAGTAGATAACATTTGAGTCTTTTGCAGAATAGTGTTTTGGGATTCTTTTAGATGATGTCTATGCCTTTCATCTTGCCTTTGTTTTTCGAACTCTCTCTTCTTCCTCTGTCTTTTCTCATCATCAGTCTCTATTCTCCCTGACGGGCCGTTTGATTTCTTCGGAGGCATTGGGGGACCAGAGTGCCTCTGGTGTTTATCATGATTTGAATTTTCACGTTCACGCCTGCCATATGAGGGATCTTTTGAAACCCCTTTATCACGCTCGTGTGCTCCCACGCTTGAACCCTCTGTTTTTTGCTGAGGCGCTGATGGAGGTGGTGGAGAATTAGGGGGTGGAGGCGGCGGGATTGAGGAGCTCGGGGGTGGAGATGAGGGCGGAGGTGGTGGTGGCTGGATTGACTGCTGATTTTGATTACCCTGGGGATATTGTGAAGGGGGGAAGTAATGTTGAGAAGGTTGCGAAGACGCTGGCGGGGGTGGAGGCGGTGGATAGGAAGAATCGGGCGGCGGAGGCGGCGGCGGCTGTGGTGCATAAGGATACGACTGGTGAGGAGGAGGAGGAGGTGGAGGCTGTTGGCTTCTCGGCGGACCATAATGTTGCTGGTGGTAATTAGAACTTTGATGAACTTGGTTGTAATTTTGGGGATACGATGAAGATGAAGCAGGAGGAGGCACGGACCCATCACCACCATAACCACCCCAATTCTGATTATACTGACTACCCCCTCGCTGTTGCGTAGGAACGGAAGCCGCCGGTGGCGCTGGTGGAGGCGGAATCGGGTTTTGACCCGGTGAAGGACCGAAAGACGATTGTGGAGGATATGGCCTGTAAGAAGCCATGGCTATATCTCCCCAAAAAAAACTCGATCAAATACAACCCTCAAAGACAGAAAATCGCGAAAATCACCACTAAGTCGAAGTTCACTCAGATTTCCCAACCAATAACCAAAAACCCTCCTCCCAAACAAGAAATCCACAAAACCCTATCAACAAATCTAGAAGTTCAAAACAAAGGGAAGCGAAACAAACACAGAAAGCAGCAACAGATGAGGCGATTCTGCCAATGCCAACACTTCTCCGAAGAGAAAAACCGATTTCCGAGAAGACGAAGACCGATTAACCGCCTCAATGGGGCCGGAGAGACAGATACCTCGCGCACCAAGGAAACCCTAGGTTAAGAAGGAAGCACAGAGGAGTGGGAACCAGAAGGAGGCAGTGAAAGGGAGAGTGGACGGGTCCGAGAAAGAGCTTCGGGTTTGCAAATGCAATGGAGAAGGGGACGCCCTTCGTGGATCTCTCCCACCTATCTATTACGTCACCGCCTTTTCTGATAATATTTCCTCCGCATTTTTATTTTTATTTATTCTTTTTTATTTCACGATAAATGGCATCAGTTTTAACCATGCTCTATCTGGAATAATTGAATAAATAACAAATTAGTGGTGTCTTATTTATTTATTTAATCATTAAAACAAAAGTAAAGTATGGAGTTTAGTCTCTGGACCTCGTTTCAAAGTTGGGCTTATGCGATTTGGACGGCCCAAATTACACATTTGGGCCGAGAATAGGTAGGTTAAGTTCAGATTCAAGGCCCAAAATAAATAATTGGGCCGATAATGGGCAGGTTAAGTTTAGATTCAGAAGACCCAAAATACATAATTGTGCCGAGAATGTGTAGGTTGATTTCAGATTCAAAGGGCCCAAAATACATAATTGGGCCGATAATGGGTAGGTGGAGTTCAGATTCAGAAGGCTCAAAGTACATAATTGGGCCGATAATGGGTAGTTTAAGTTCAGATTCAGAATGCCCAAAGTATATAATTGGGCCGATAATGGGTAGGTTTAAGTAAAGATTCAGAAGGCCCAAAGTTCATAATTGGGCCAATAATGGGTAGTTAGGTTCAGATTCAGAAGGCCCAAAGTTCATAATTGGGCCGATAATGGGTAGGTTGAGTTCAGATTCAGAAGGCCCAAGTTCATAATTGAGCCGATAATGGGTAGGCTGAGTTCAGATTCAGAAGGCCCAAACAAGGATCACACGGGAACCAAAACTTGAATTAAAATTGCATTCATGAACTACACCCAAAAACAAAAGCAACCCATAGCCCCCACAGGCAGGCTGCTCCAATCCATAAGTGGAGCTTACATAACATTAGGAAACATATAAAAGTTCCAATAACATCTTGCCACATCAGCTTTGTCGTCCACTTGTCATCCATTTGTCATCCACGTGTGGATTACTTGGGCCGACAGGCAGAATCAATGGGCCCAGCTTGTCTTGCCAGCTGAATTAGACCACAAAAGCTAAACGTTAAACGTTACCATACAAAAGTAAGAAAGAAAAGGAAATGAAGTTTGTATTTATTTTTATTTTTTTATTATAAGAACCTGAAAATAGGCTTCAAGCTTCTTCCTCAGAGTTGTATATTCCTTCTTCAGTTGTTGGAATGTCCTTAAGCATCTGTTTTTCATTACAAAAGTTCATACAGTCATAAACATGAAATGCATTCGTTTTTGGTAAATAAAATAACCTCTAACTTGTTTGAACAGTACGGACCCAACTTCAACAAGTTTCATAAAAGTTGGTGCCTTTTTCTTCATGTAATAATGATAAGAATAATAATAATAACATTCACTTCCTACAGTCATGGTTTCCATTGATTGCATGCATGCAAAACTGAACCATAAATGCCCATGCAACTTTCTACTTTGATAATATGAAAAAATTATATAGATATTGTAGTAGCCCAAAATCTACCGCCCGTAGATATTGTCTTCTTTGTACTTTTCTATTTGTGTTTTCCTTCAAAGTTTTGAAATGCGTCTACTATGGAGAGGGTCTAGTTCTACTCCGACCAATACCTCACACCTAGAACCCTACTCTGACTAGTGTCTCGCATCTAAACCCCTACTCTAACTAATGTCTTGTATTGTCCAATGATGGCTCTTATACCATTTGTAACCGCTTGAAGGAAAGCCTAAAAGAAAATCTGAAAGGAGAAGCTCAAATAGAACAATATCTACGGGCGGGACTTCAGCTTTTACCGATAGACGAGGGGGAGGGATGAAATTGATGTTCCATCAATCTGAGCCGTCCACGTTGAAGTGAATTAAACCAGGACATAACGAGGGGAATAAGAAGAAAGGATATGAATGACAGATATTTACCCATCTCCACTTCCTGCCCTGCAATATTCCCTCAACTGTGTGCACTCAGCTTTCACCTTTTTGGCTCCAATACTGCACCCATTACAAAACAACATCAATGTTTTTCTTCACACACAGATTTGTTTACCTCTATATTTACTGGGTTGTTGTTACCTTGAGCTACTTCCTTTGAATTGGTGCATAAGAGCATCCAACTTATTGAAGTCCAGAGGGCTCTTCTGTCTGCATTTATCAAAAACTTAAAGATTAATTAACAAAGAACTTCGAAATTTGAAGAACAGCAAAAGAAAAACAACTTACAGTGCTTGCTCTATGCTGACTATCAGCCTGGATGAGTCTCTGTAATACAATGTAACAATTTCCTCCACGAAGTTTGGATTAGCATCATCTTGCAGTTCCTCCAATTGCACGAATTGTTCATCAAGAAACCCCTGCAAAATGCCCAAATCAATCAAATTTTAAGTTAATACTATTCACTTTCAAAAACCCTTTAGATTTAATGAACATTACCTGATCAAAGAGGGACTGCCTGATGTTGGCGAGCTGCCTACGCAATTGTGTTTTCTCCATTTCAGGACGTGAGAATGAGGGGAAAATGAAGGCTTATGAGGAAAGGAAATGAGTGGTTAAAGGCGGTTGAGGTATACCATTAAGAAAGGGTTGGAAGGGAGTTTATATAGTGAGGGAAAAGGGAGATGGGATAGCTGTGGGAAAAGGGAACAGGAGATGATGACAATGCAAGTATGTGATGTGTGGACCTGATTGCTTTGGGAAAGAGGGTTAAAGAACCAGGGAACTTCTCGAGCATCCAATTAAAATCACAAACGGATAATGGTATTGTCTGCATTAGCTCGTTATGTATTGCCCTCTACTTCACGGTTTTTTAATTCGTTATGTATTGTTCTCAACTTCACGATTTTAAAACGCGTCTATTAGGGAGAGGTTTCCACACCCTTATAGAGAATGTTTCGTTCCCCTCTCCAACCGATGTGGGATCTCACAATCTACCTCCCATGGGGACCAACGTCCTCACTGGTACACTACTCAATACCTGGCTCTGATACTATTTGTAACAACTCAAGTCCACAGTTAGTAAATATTGTCCGCTTTGGCCCGTTACGTAACGCTGTCAGCTTCACGGTTTTAAAACGCCCTCTACTAGGGAGAGGTTTCCACACCCTTCTAAGAAATATTTCGTTTTCCTTTCCAACTAATGTAAGATCTCACAATCTCACCCCTCTTGGGGACCCAACGTCCTCGCTGTCACACTATTCGGTGTCTAGCTCTAATACCATTTGTAACAATCCAAGTCCACCGCTAACATATATTGTCCGTTTTAGTCCGTTACGTATCGTCATCAACCTCACAGTTTTATAAGGTGTTTGCTAAGAAGAGATTTCTATACTCTTATAAGGAATGTTTTGTTCCCCTCTCCAACCCACATGAGATCTCACGCCTACTACGGTTACAAGTAACACATAAAATGGATTGAAGAAAAGACAAGAACTTCTAATGAAATGTTGTTGATGATGTTATGATGTCCTATTAAGTGTTTGTTTGTATTCACACTTTCATCTTACTATTTAAGTTCTTTTTTTAAAGATATATTCGTATGTTGATAAGAGATGATGTAGTAATATACTTAAGAATCAAAGACAATAAGGAGGTATTGCAGTTGATATTTTTTTCTAAAAAAAATAAAATAATAATAATAATAATTTAGAGCGATTCCACCTATAAAAAAAGATTAATAATAAAATCATATTTAATGAAGAATATATGATAAAACTAACATTTTAAAATAGATTCTACAAGCTATAGCAATGAATTTCAGAAAATAAAATAAAATAATCTAGATTTGATGTAAAGAGACACATCAAGTTCTTTTTATTGCTTTTCTTATATCCTCCTTACTTATATAAGCTTGATGAAGAAGCTGTCTGGAATTATTACTAATTATAGAAATTACTACCAGAGTAATTTGGCGGCAAATACAGAATTATTAAATTGGTACTTGGATGTTTTTTTTTTTTTCCTATAAACTAACTTTTCTGTCCTTTTTCACAAAATACTGTTCAAAAGGAACTTTCTAAAACGTTTGTGGATGTAGTCCCATCTTCATACATTTGTAGATTTATCGAGTACATCTTGTTTATAATCGATGATTTTTCTGTATATATTCGACAACGTTGTCAATATATCCGACGTTGTATTCTCTTTGATGATGTTGAACGCTACGCTTTTAGACAGCGTCAACCAGACCAACCCTAGAGTCTATCATTATACTTCCACGGTTCTATGGTCATGATATACAGATTCACCTCAGACAGGAGTTCGTAAAGATATTTCTAGTACAGATAATCTTAAAAAAAAAATCGAAATCGAATCTCAAACTTCTCAATTCTAATATTTGAGTTTTTCATTTTAAAAGATCTTGGTGAGTATCTTCCAACTCTATACTAGTTGTTAGAATCGCACAACAATTCACACACTTGATTTAGATGAACTCAAAAGACATGAGAAATAAAATGCAAAAAAGAATATTGACTAAGGGTTTATATTGATGACACTAAGTATGTACAGTAATAGAGAATACAAAAAAATCCAACTCGATGAAGACGACCACGTGGCCCACCCGCCCCAGAAAAAAGAAAATGTTGCCCAACACATTTTATGCTTAAGACAAAATCTGTCCTGTTCTAAAGCACCTAAATAATAATAATAATATAAAGTTTTTCGCATTCGTACTAGACAAAGAATTTATCCCACCCCAAGTGTCCATGCCATATGTGCACCACCATTTTCATAAATTAAAAAAGAAACAATCATATCACTCTTACTATTCCAATCTAAAATTCGATTTTTCCTAAGAAATTTCTACCTAAGGTAATAAAAGAACATGAATCACTTCACTTTTGTTTACTCTATTTGGCCAATCATTTCTCTCCTTCTGTCATCGTTCCAAAATGAACCTATCCACCCAAGGAAATGAAAATGATATTCTGTGGTGGAGAGAAATATCAAATCAAAGAATATGTTACACCTAACATAGTTGTAGGGCAGAAGGGTTGAGGTAGGGTATCTACTCGTTCACAGCCTTAGAAATTAAAATCTCCATTCATATAATCGCACTTTATATCAAATACGAGGCTAACTTAATAGCTAAAAGACATCTAAAATTCGTTTGAAATTAAAAATTTAAATCCTGAACCCACACTTGTCGTATTAATATATAGTTTAAACTCTAACCTAGTTTATTGGTGATTGACATCCAATACTTCTTTAAAATAGAAATTTCTAATCTTCATACCAGGTAAAACAAAGTTAGTGTCAACTCAGTCATTAACATATACAACATATTTAGAAATTGATATATAACATATAAAACTAAATTTATATACCTAACCTGTTTTTGTCATGGATTTATTAGACACAAAATAAAAAATTTAAGAACGAAGACACTTTTTAAAAATTTCAAAATATAGGACTATTAAACATTCAAAAATCACATTGAAATTATAATTTGATCTAAGTTTTACCACGCTGTTTTTGTCATGGATTTAGATACAGTTAATGGGAGAATCTCTTGAAGATGAAGTACGTCACTAGAAGAAAGAATTCACTGAAACTCTAGACACTGAAACAAGAGTGAAGCCACCATTAACATAAACCATCCACAGTTTCTTACAAGTTTTCTTATCATTAAATTTTATTCTTAAGTACTGACCATTATGGAGATGTTCAGAGTTTATGAATTAAATTTCGATATATCTTTTTGAAAAAATGAATTAATTTCTATAATTCAAATATGTATAAAATTAGGCTAGAGAAGCTCAAACTTTCCAACCTCATACTAATTAATTAAAGCCAGGAGACAAATATGGGTTAGGCTCATCATTTCATCAAGAGACATAACTAAATGAACATATTTTATTAACATAAAATTTTAGGACTCTAAATTATGATAATTCGGTCAGAGGATAAATACCTTGATGACAATTGGATCAACTTGGTCACATTTTAATTGAAAGTTATAAATCCCTGTTTAAAACCCTGGAAAGAAAGAAAAAAACCAAATGAAATATAGTTAATGTAACCACCTTTTTAAATAGTGGAATTAAACTAATTGAATCAACTTTTGTCCATTTGGGTGTTTTCCCTATTAATAGGTCGGTTTGACCGTTTCTTTTTCCATCTAACATTAGGTAGAACCACTCGTTTTCTGTCTAAATAAGTATCCTATAAAGTTTTTGATACTTCAAATTAATAATTCTTGGAGAGTAAGCTTAGAACCCTACCAAGTCTTCACTACCTATGTCCTGGGAAGGCTATTAGTATATATCATATTAATTATCAATTCACTGCATCTTATAAGCCTTCACAATAAATAAATATGTATGTATGTATATACTCGTGCTACCGCTTAAAACCTGAATATATCTCAATAAGTAAGATATATACCTATAATCAAGATGAAGTTCGAATCTCTGCATGTAATTGAACAAAGAAAAAATAAAAATATATATGTATGTATAAAATAATTGAACAGTGTGTGGGCATACATACATGCAGGAACTGCGGGTACAAAATTCGGGACTCCTAAAAAATAGACCTGCAATAAATTTTTAACAGAAAAAAAAATCTATTAATAAATTATCAAATAAGTGAGGTTTTCTTTTTCTTCAAAGAAACTATATCAAGCTTATTCAAATAATTTCATTACATAATAACAAACAACAAGCAGAGAATAGAGACTGGTACATCCAATTACTTCAACCTACCATCGTGGATAAAACATTTATTATTTTCTCTTTGTAAATAAAATATATATTTTTTTCTCTAAAATTGGTACGGCTTCGATTTCCCAACCGAGCATTTATCAACCAAAAATAATAATAAAATAATAAATGAAACAGAGATATTTAGAAGGATGGGAGGATTTAATGAAAAGTTAAGAGATGGTGAGTGGAGAATAACTAATATGGGTCGAGAAGCACGCATCACTATGAAGGGGAGAATCAATAAGTTGAGCAAAATGGTGAAATGATCCCTAAAGACAGAAGAAATCCCACCAATGATTGACATGAGAAGCTCAGTACGTTTGCAGGCAATGGTCCTTGTCACGTCTTTTACTCTTCCATATCTCACCTGTAATTTTAGACAGATGTAATGTTAAAAAGTGGGAAATGTCAAGTGTTCAGGGGAAGAGATTCCACCTTTACATTCCTCTGCCACAAATATACCAAGTGAGATAAGAAGTGCATGTACAGCAGAAAGATGTTTGTGCAGTGCTCTCTCTCGAAGCTGAGCTACACACACAACCCCTCTCTCTCTCTCTCTTTCTCATTCTCAAATGCTTGGTCACATCAAATGCTTTGTTAAAAGAGTTAACAGGAAAAAGCTAGCGATATGTGTGGGTGTGGTGGGTGAAGTGGGATCAGAATAAGGCTATGTGTTTACATATATATACTCATATTTTTTGTTTTTCCTTTTTTTCGTGGCATAGATTGTGATTCTCTTTTTCCATCACTGTCCCTCCTATGTCGATAAGAATCCCACCCTGGACAGTAATCAATCTCTTACTTGTATTATCAATCTTTCCGGTTGTTCATTAGAGTACCACATAAATCTGTAACGACTAAAAGATTTATGTCATTCTTGTGTAAAGGAATAAGGAGAAATCGTAAAAATACTCCTGATAAAAGACACAACATAAGAGGAAAATAATAATTATATAATAACAAAAGTAAAAGAGTCATAATACAAAGCTAACTACCTACAAAAATTACATAAAAGACTCCAGAGAGAAAAAGAGTAATCAGTCCAATGAATAAGAACAAAAGAATTAGTTACAATCACAAATGCCCAAAACCCTCCATTCGACAAAAAAAATAAGGCACACACTAGAGATCTACCCCTAGCTTATGAGGGAGGATGAAAGAACACCACCTCCCTCCAAACAAGACCTCTTATCATATGCACTCCGAAAGCCTACAAAATACTGTCTCAAATCGAACTTGCAAACACTCCTACAGGACATGCCCTCTAGATTCTCTGAGGCGTATTACAAATGTTGCACTGCTAAGACCCCTGGAAAAATACAAGATGATCTCTAAATAAGATTGATGGTCAAGGAGAACAAGGAGGAGGCGAGACCCATACAAAAGATAAAATGAGCCACAGGAAAACGCCTCAAGAGGATAAGGTCAATAAACAATCTTAACCCCAGGTAGAAACATAAATAAGCATCAATGAGACATCAAAAGACTGTCAATCAGACAGAAGGTGTCCAAGACGGAAAAATGGAAATTGTAGGAGAGGAAGGACCGCAAGGGAAGAAGCCACCAATGCAAAACTTCAAGGGGGAAAATTACGGAACATAAGACAATCAGGACTGCTCCCCTCCCAACAGTCTTCCCACAAGCAACCATTGAACCATCAACAAAAATAAGCCTGAAGAATCTAAGAGACGTTATGTAACCATGGATTTCGACCACTAATTGCACTTATAAGTTATGAACAGTAAACACCCAATGGCATACACATCAAATTCTTCTCTCCTCTTTCTCTCAAATCTCCTTGTTTTTACTGGCTAATTCGGCAAGAATTTGAAAATTCTCAATCACCCAATCCAAAGGATTTATTGATTTCGAGAAAAGGTTGCGCTATAAAAGAGATAGAAAGGTAGGTTAGAACTTAGAAGAGACAACGCTATCGTTTTCTTTACATAAAATTATATTTTCAAAATAAAAGAGAAGAATGGTTTCAAGAGCAACATGATATCAAATATTATCAATAATTAATTGCGATGATGTGTTCAAGCTCAACTATTCAATTTATGAAAACAAAAAACAATCATGTCTCTAAAACAGATTTCAAACTACAAACAGAAACATGTTATTCATACATTATTAGCCTTTTTCCGAAAAATTATAGCTATAAACGATTTCTTAAATACAACTCATTGAAATTTACTACATTTTTAATTTATTATAAACAGTAAATGAAAATACGAGACTAAACATTATTTTTGTAAACAAGCTCTATAAACTAAAAACAATTGATCAGTGGGAAAAAAAAATAAAAATACATCTTTTTACGAAAACACAAATTGAAGTCAAGTTCATTATTGCAATTTTTGTCAGAAACCTTTTTTATTTAAATAAATAAATAAAATAACTCATGAAAAAAAATTGTAATAAAAAAAAATAGAAGAACTAAGATATAATATCCTGAATAAAAATTAAAGATTCAAATCTTCATGCACATATTACTCATATTACTGAGCAAAAAAAGGGGGGTGGGGGGGGAAATATAGAAACATCTAGCTTACATCAATTACACGGCAATAAAGGAACCACTATAATTTTAAAATCTGGCTTTGATGCCATCGTCCTAATTCAAGAAAGCATAAACATTGCCACCTCAGAGAATTAGTTGCTTAATGGGCAGCTCAAGAGAACGGATATAACAAAAAAGAGAATACGTTAGTACCTTTCCTAATCGAGAATGTGTTCATTGAGAATAATCCAAACTTGTGCGTGTTGGTTGCAATCATATAGAGGCTTACCTTTAAGGTTGCTTTCTCAGTGAGCTTTACACAGATATTCCTCCTTTGCAGCATCAATTCTGTTCATCCTCATAAGAATCCGTTCCTTGGAAATACGAAATTATTGAAAGCAGCATTCTCCACTATGGGTAGCTTTATCTCCATTCGCCAAAGTGTTATCCAAATAAGCCCATCCAAGTCCTCGTAGTAACCTAAAACAGAAAGAATCCCAGTACTACCCATTCATCTGAGTAGAGCCAAAGTTAGACAAAAAATTTAACACCCAATGACTTGAAACTATGTATGGCGTCACTTATATACATATATTGATTACACACGTTCCATGTAAGAAGTTTGCTAATTGTTTCATGAAATCGGCAAATTCATTGTAGTTAGTGGGGTTTCTAAGGTGAAGAGAACTTGGTTAAGGTAGATGCATAATTGCATGCAAATATAGTATACAGGGTTGAAACTAGGTATATAGAAAAATACACGGCAAGCCTCTCTAACAAACTAGAATAGATAAGGTAAAGGAGCTGCAGAGTTTGTATAATTATTTAACTACAGCTCAAGTGTATGTCCAGTTTATAGAAAAGATCACATACTTCTGCCCAGCCAACCTGTATGTCGATACTACGTTTACCATTCAGGTTGGCGCTCCTTGATTTGGTGCTTTAGGTCAATTACAGAAACTGAGATGTTGTCACCACTCAAATGACTGAACACCTTGCGGATTTGATTTGCAGCATATTGTGCTGGATAAATTGCATCATGAGCTCCACCAAACGCCAACTTTCTGCGTTGCCTCCTCAGTATGCTGCAAGCCTCTTCATCACATCATCATTAGACAAGATAACCCATACTCCATCACTAGCCAGAATCAAACACTCGTCTTCTTCAGTCCTTGACATAAATGTAACCTCAGCTCAGATATAATCCACGGTTTAAGAAACAAATTCAAAACTAGAACAGTATGTGGGTGGAAGTTGCTAAAATAAAACGGTGAGAAAAACTATGAGTATCAAGGATGATGAGCTTAGTGAGAAATGATTTTGTAAAGCAAGAACAGAACCTTGAACCAATTAAACCAATTAGAACAGTAATAAAACTTGAAAGCACAGGGCAACATAACATATTTATTCCCAGCTAGTTTAAATGCTCTTTTCCAGTGGCTTGAGACTTGGTGGAGGATAAAAATTATTAACTTGACTGTTCAAAGTAAGTGCCAGGAAATAAATAGAACCAGATAACTAGTTATGACTAGATCAGATAATATGAAGCTATGGGTCAGAAGAAACCTATTGCCCTGGTCATAGTCAATACTCCTACGACCCTAGGGAAGCCCACAAACAGAATCCTCACTCCTCCCTTAACCAGTCTATCATATTCTTCTGGCCTACTAATCTGCATCAGAAAGGGGAAAATACAAGAGTCTTAATATTAACTAAATATGTTGTGCAAATTTGTGCAGCCAACTGAAACATATGATTGGTCTTCCATTTATTTGAACATAAAGATTACAAAGCATAGCTTAAACAAAGGCACAATCGCAATTGAGAAAATACTAATTTTGGAAGCATTAAGCGTTCGGCAACCATAATCTGCAACATGATACAAAATCAAGAACCTTCAAGGTTTAATAACTTCAAGTAAGATCAACAATGAGAACTTTAATGGAAAATAAACATAATCTGGTATAACCAGTTTATATACAATCTAATCTTTCCAATGCTTCAGATATTACTCTCACCTACCAATTTCAGAAATGGAGCAATAACTCAATAGGGTACGAGCACGCCAAAGATAGAAATGATGTCGACAGAATTATACACAATAAGCGTAAGCCCACTGAACCCCACAACAGCCTTCATCATCTAGTTCCAACTCCAACCTATCCATTCCTTTGAGGAGACAAATGGGAGAACTAAAAACTGATAGGAATAATTTATTGCATGTGGTGTACGTTTAATTGAAAATGTTATCTAATAATGAAGTCAAATTATAAATTGTGACCAAGTATAAAATTTCTGCAACATAAAGCGGGATGCACAGAATTCTAATTGAACCTTTTGGTCAACCGTCAAGGGGATGGCTTGACTCTGACGACAGAGCATTGAGTCGCCACAGTTGGCAACAATAATCTGGCAAACTGACAGAAGAAGAATCAAAGCTGTAGATCCAACCGAGTAGGGTGCTAGAGTCTTGTCCTTGAAAGCGTCATCAACCCTCTCAGAAGACTTTGTCAATGCAATTTTCCACCGTCCATTCTGACCACTGTCCGAGCCCCCTCTAACCCACTCTTCTGCTAATAATTCATGGAAGTTCTTGAACAATATGTCCTCACCTGAAATGACCATTAAAAAGATTGGTCATAAATTTAGTAGTTTCTACAATCATATGCCCTAACTCCATATCAAATATCTATTCCTACACTAGCTTTCTAATTGGAAACCCATTCCTAAACACATTGATAAAATATCATAATTTACACTTAGAAGTATCAAAGCGGGAATGGCCACAGGTTAGAACAACAATTTTTCATTAAAAACAGCTTGAATACACAAAAGTATAAGTATATTAGTTCATATAAAAAAAACCAAACAAAGGTGAGAACTATCTTTAAATGGGTTGGCAATGCCTTCGGTGGAGAATTATTGGGAGTGAGTCCCACGTTGGTTAATTTAGTGGAAGATCATGGGTTTATAAGTGAGGAATACTATCTCCATTGGTATGAAGCCTTTTGGGGAAGCCCAAGGCAAAGCCATGAGAGCTTATTCACAAAGTGGACAATATCATACCATTGTGGAGAGTCATGATTCATAACATGGTATCAGAGCCATGCCCTAAACTTAGCCATGTCAATAGAATCCTCAAATATCGAACAAAGAATTGTGAGCCTCGAAGGTGTAGTCAAAAGTGACTAAAGTATCGAACAAATGGTGTACTTTGTTCGAGGGCTCCAGAGAAAGGAGTCAAGCCTCGATTAAGGAGAGGCTATTCGAGAGCTCCATAAGCCTCAGGGGAGGCTTGTAGTGTACTTTGTTCGAGGGGAGGATTGTTGAGAATTATTGGGAGTGAGTCCCACCTTGGTTAATTTAGTAGAAGATCATGGGTTTATAAGTGAGGAATACTATCTCCATTGGTATGAGGCCTTTTGGGGAAGCCCAAAGCAAAGCCACGAGAGCTTATGCTCAAAGTGGACAATATCACACCATTGTGGAGAGTCGTGATTCATAACATGGTATCAGAGTCATGCCCTAAACTTAGCCATGTCAATAGAATCCTCAAATATCGAACAAAGAATTGTGAGCCTCAAAGGTGAAGTCAAAAGTGACTAAAGTGTCGAACCGGGCTCCAGAGAAAGGAGTTGAGCCTCAATTATGGGGAGACTATTCGAGAGCTCCATAAGCCTCAGGGGAGGCTTATAGTGTACTTTTTTCGAGGGGAGAATTGTTTAGGATTATTGGGAGTGAGTCCCACGTTTGGTTAATTTAGTGGAAGATCATGGGCTTATAAGTGAGGAATACTATCTCCATTGGTATGGGGCCTTTTGGGGAAGCCGAAAGCAAAGCCAAGAGAGCTTATGCTCAAAGTGGACAATATCATACCATTGTGAAGAGTCGTGGTTCATAACACCTTCTTAGTTCACGGTTAACAAGTTCTCATTCACAGGAAAGCCACTCAGTAATTAAGTAGAGAACCTTAGCACAAACGCTCAAAGACTCTTAATTGAATTGCCCGATTGTCTTAAATACAACGAAATAAGTTCCTTCCATAATCTAAAATTGAACCGAAACATAATGCTAGCATTATCTCAAGTGTGGTTGCAAAGCAAACCAGGGGTCGTCAATGACGCTTCCACGAAACCTTTTTAACATGTCCTCAACTAAATCCTACATGCAACGACCTCCAACAACCGACGACAATGCATGGATTTACTCTCTGCTAACGATCTCATAAAAAATGTCAGTGAAAATAACCATATAGCCTCGATTGAATGCATCAGAGTTGCACTAACAACCTATCAAATCCATTTAACGATATTTTCCTCCGGGAAGTTGTCTAAAACACTGACGCCTATAGATGAGCAAGAAGCGAAAAGAAAAGTTCACAACGATATTCGAAGAGGAAAACGGACGAACATCGAAAAGAAACAACGATCAAAAGAAGAGAAGTCAAAATTCTTCATTACAAAACGTTACTGGCGAAGAAAACGCAACCGATCAAAACAGAGAGAAATACCTCAGTGCGATGCGATCATACGCAAAATGCGAGGAGCTGAATGAAAACTAAACCATAGTACAGGTAGCGAAACAGGGCTCAAACTCGGAAGTACGTGCTTCCGCTCGCGCGCAATATTTAACAAGATGACCATTCTACCCTCTCCGTTTCTTTATCACGAGTGCACGACATGTCGCTCGACTAGAAAGTCGTAACTTCCATTACGTTGGATTAGACCTGGTCCAGACCAGGCATAGGCCCATTTGAAGACGGCCCAAATCAGATATTTTAGACCTATTGGGCCGAATCATCTAGTTTTGGGCCTAATCATGACCCATTATTGTTCTTTTTTCCAAAATACCCTCCCTGTTCCACAACATAATTTCAACATAATTTAATTGTTCGTGCTTGGAATGACACTCAATTGTTTATCCACCAAGTTAGGCTCAAATTCATATCACATTTTTTAAAGTAATGACAACTATTTATTTTCATAATTAAGAATTTACCTGTTATACTTATTTGGTTAACTTCTTAGAATAACGGTGAGATATGTTTAACATAAACATAATTCGATTGTTTGTGCTTAGAATGACTCTCAATGATTTATCCACCAAGTCATGCTCGAGTTGATATCTCATTTGGTCAACTTCTTAGAATAACGGTTAAACGTGCAACCCCGAACCTCATTCAATTGTTAGAAGAAAATCAATACAATCCAACTCGATAGTTTTAAGATAAACATCCACAACTGAATTTGAACCATGCATTCAAGTTATTATTAAAGATAACGAAAAGAAGTACCTGAAAACCTGTGTCCATCAAACAAGCCAAAATAATGAACCACCTGAGAATCTTCCTCCTCTTATCTTTCCATCACACAGGAGATAGAAACTCTTCAATTGCAGTTATACATCCCTTATCTAATCCAAAACCCCACAAAATCTAAAGTCTATCACGCCCATTGCACTCATCGAGCCACTGCCACTCCAACAAGCGGCGGTCGGCCTTCCAGCGTCAGCATCTGTTAAGGATTCACCGGAATCAATGGTGATAAGCACTTGACTTTAGAAGGCAACAAGTTAGAAAGATAGAAAGATAGGTTACAGATAAGAAAGAGGATGTTAAATGTGGAGAAGGGGTTTTTGCTCCAACTAATGGAAGAAGGGATGAAGTGTGAGATCTCACGTAAGTTGGAATGGAACAAGACATTCCTTACAAGGGTGTGAAAACCTCTCCCTAGCCAACGCATTTTAAAACTTTGAGGAAAAACCCATAATGGAAAGTCCATAGAAGACAATATCGACTAACAGTGGGTTTGGGCTGTTACAAACGATATCAGAGCCATCAGGTGGTGTTCCAGTAAGAATATTGGGCCTCCAACGGAGTGCGGTTGAAGAGAGAAAGGAAAAGGGGGTGGAAACCTCTCTCTAATACAGGGATTTTAAAACCTTGGATTCCCTCCAAATCAAAGTCCATTTACATTTGGCCATGACTGAATATTGGAAGACAGATGGTCAAGGAACAGTCACAACAGAAGAACAGCTTGATAAAGGAAGACAATATTAAGAAGAAAACAAAAAACAAATCAACCAAATCAAAATTCTTAATTTAAAACACAAATTAAGATGAAACAACAGGTGTAGAACACCAAGGAATGCATGCCTAATTGCTAAAGTTGGTCATGACAAGGCTCTTGGCGTTAAAGAGGAAAAAGGTAACAAACTTCCCACCCATACAATACAAATACGCAGTTCTTCATCACGCTCAGCTGTAAAGGACTTAACTATAGGAGATATGATACTAAAAGTTAAATCCAGAAAAGAAGTGAAACCGAAAGAACTGGTCGGTTTACATTTCAGCACTTGAATAATACTTAAAGACTTTTGTTAAAAAAAAAACAGTAGAATTGTTCTTCCTTGCCATATTTACACTATTCAGAGACAAAAGCAACAAAAAGAACAGTGGGGTCCGCATTTCTACAAAAACCAAATTCTCTTATTCCAGTGTTCCTGACTTTCAATGATCATGCTCTAAATTGAAAAACCAGACATATTCAATCTAAACTCAATGTGCATTCAAGTCCAAGTGTTCATATATGGAGCAGTGTGTGAACAAAAACAATTAATCCAAAATTAATTTCATAGAGATAAACGCACCTAACCTCATTTCTGGCTATTGAAGATGGCTGAAGCAAGCGTTCCCATCTTTGGGGTTGTAGCACTGAACCTGCCAGGCAACCCAAAGAAAGAAATGCAAAAGTGGAATTACCCATCAATTCCTTGGTTAGAAAGGATCGATACCTAAAAAGGGTACAAAGAGTTATCAATAAAATCAAGTTAGGATCGGCTAATTAACATATTTATTACATATCTATTTGTTTACAGTTACAAAGAATAGATATACTTAAAGAACTTTCTCTAGCCTACTTGATATCAATAAAAACACCCACACTACGGAGTTTCTAAGAAAAAAACTAGTTTAAGGGTGTCATTTTACAAGAAAAGCTCGTGATGCATGAAGAATTCTCCCTCCTTCATTTCAAAGAGCTTAGATTGTATCATTGTCGTCCTTGTTTAAGTTTGAACGACTAACTGGAGTTTTTGGATGGAAAGCTGACTGTCTCGAGCCCTCGCCTATCAATCTTAAGGACAGGGGCGAATGCTCTCTATGTTCTCCTTCGTGCTCTCGTAGAGTGAGTTGAGACAAGCCAACTAGTTCATCAACATTGACAGGTTCCTTCAGCACGACTGGAATTGGCCTTAGGACCTCATGATGACACATTTCTACACCCTTTTCTTCCTCCATTGGGAATGTACTTGGTGCCCAAATACGGAAAGGTACAGGCATATAAGCCGGGATGAACCCTGGTATCATAGGTGGGAAACCAGCAACTTCCATCTTAGTTGCATCGAGTTCGTTTCCATTTTCTTCAACTGTAGTTTCCATCATATGGAACTCTGAATTAAGTGAGAGATTTAGTGAAGGTTGGGAACTTGAATTCTCTGTTTCTTTTGCCTGAGAAGCATGTAAAACTCCATCTTCTGGCATAGGCAGCGGATCAGATGCCTGAGAGACAATGAAACGAAGAAACTCAAAACCTTATGATGAAAAAAATGTGCCATGCTGGTAGATACGCCTGTTTAGATCCAATATCCAGATGCATTATGAATAAGGACACCAATCTTTCAATTACAATATACAAGACAATGACACGACCGTAGAAACGTGACAAGAAAAAACTCAACAGAAACTAATATGCAAACTCAACAGAGAAGTACGGGGGTCGGCAATAATAAACTAGCAATGTAAGAGTTCAAGACTAACCATCTCCGGAACCATGTCAAAAAGGCTCGACCTTCGCTTTCTTCTTGTTGAATTACTCTGCCGAATGAAATACTTTTGGGCATGGCTTGCCACCTGAGTTGGAGTCCTCGTAATAACAAAATTCCGAGAAATTCCACGCCAGTCTCCTTTCCCCAATTTCTGCAGACCAACTAAGAATAATCGATGCTCCTCCTCGGTCCATGGAACACCTAAAAACATTTAAGGCATCAAACAACAGTAATATGATACCTGATCCAATTATTAGAACTCCAAAGCATTAAGAGAATATGCTACTGTTTGATCACTGCTGTCGAACTCCATAGTCATATTCAACAATAAACCCCCAATCTCGATTGATCCTGGAATTGTAGACTAAACAAGAAAAACACATCTGAGATTCCAGTATTTTCGATTTCAACAAATGCAATGGGGGTTAAAAGTTCGACAATAAAAGTGAAAACAGAGACTTTTACCAATCAAACGACACAAAAAATTATTTCCAAAGCAATTAGAAATGAAACTAGGAAATATAGCATCCAATGCAATACTTACCGCATCAAGAAACCTAATGGAGTTCCCGTCCCCGCCGACCTCCTCTTAGACCTATTAACTTAAAATGCAATTATTATCAAATGTCAAGCCAGTAAAGGCATTCTTCCTCTCTTCAACCTTCCATGGCATTCCTTACAGTAGCCACTGGAGCTAGAATGTAAATTGTGTCTAACCATTGAGAGAAAAGAAATAAGGCTCATATGAAAAGGCCAGCAGGTGATTGCTTCACAATGGATACTTAGAAAGCACTGATTCATGATCTTTCATCGAATTGAGAATCTCAATTGTTATAAAACACTAAATTCTCATTCCTGGAGTATAAAAAACGACTGGAATTTCATTATCGATTACCAGATCAAGAGAATTATCTTGACCATTGTTTTTACTTATCTCCTTTAATCTCAGATAGGTTTGCTTCTTTAAGTAAAGAACTTGGTATCACTGATTTTCAAACTACTACGGTGTTGCGTCTGTTGGGTCCTCGGTCATTGGTTTTCAATGAAATTCTTCTGATGTATCAGAATTCGTGTAACAAAACTGGAAAGAATGACGGAACCGATCAAAAGAAAAAAGCAAGAAATAGCCAAGGAAAATCCGAAAAGGAACCTATGAAACTGATGAATACAAGAAAATCACCCAAGCGCGAAGCATTTATCAGAGAACGGACATGAAATCCGTCACAAATATACGGTGCAAGCGATTGTGAAACAAATCAATTAAACGCTAGAACACGGACATCACCATAATTGCGTTAACCAAAATCACAAAGGAAATGAGGTCCAAAATCCTCTCAGAAACAAACGTTTCAGGACCAAAACATTAACGTTACGATTCTGAAACTGTTCATCGGTTACCTTTCTTCCTTTCACCCCGACGATTAGCGGAGCAGGATGCATGTGTAGTATCATCGGACAAAAAGCCATCGGTATCATGAACAGGATCAGAGTTAGGGGAGTCAGGATTGGGCGAGGCAGCAGCGGAAGAAGAACTATGGTAATGTACAGAGAGGTTACCCATGCTGGCGCTTTTCTTGATGAAAGACCCATCCGTAAGCCTAACCCCAAATAGCTTAACACCACCACTGCCGCCGCCGCTGCCGCCGCGGGAGGGGCAGGTTCGTGAGTTATGGCCATTGTTGCTGCAGTGAGAGCAACGCCGAGTCATTGCGATCCGTGACCCGGCGAGTCAGGCCAGTAGAGCACAAAATGAAGAAAAAAATTGTGGAATTGAAGATCGTGAGAAGTGAAGATTAAATAAGAGAGAGGTTTGATGAAGAAAAAGAGGATTTTTAGGGGAAAATCAAAGCTCCGATTAGCCAAACGCGGGTGTTCGTTGGTAAGACTATGACCATTTTATCCAATAACGTATTTTTCTGACCTCTCCCTTCTTATTCTTATTATTATTATTACTTAATTTCAATCTCAACCATTTATTTCTGCTTTATTTTATTCTCTTTCCTTTTTAAACTTTTAAAAAATATGTTTTAATACAACATACTCATTTTTTCTATTATATATGAATGAACTGACATCCTATCTGAAAGGATCCCAATCCAAAATAATTGAAAATTACTATCTATACCAACTAATTGTACTTTCTTTTTTCAGTTATTTCCAAAATAAAATGTGTTTTGCTTAAATCAATTTTACCAGTAATCTTCTCAAAATTTTTAAATAAAACAATCTTGGAAAAAGAGTAGATAACGTCATCAATACGGTAAAACGAGGGTCTCGAACCCAAATTATTAATTTTGGACAAAATAAATAACGTCTACGGATGAAAATTAGTAATTGTTTAATTTGATTTTAACTTATTTATACTCTATATAATTTAAAGTTAATATTATTATCGTTCGGGATAATTTAAAATATTATTCATAAACGAAATTTTTAGCTTATCCATTTGATATCTTAACCCACACAAAAAGAAAATAAAATATTCTCTCACTTACCTATTTCTTTTTTATTCGTTCAACAAAGTTGTTAGAATGGATATAAAAGGCAGGTTGAAATTCATTTTTCATTAATTAATTTATTTAACTATTAATTAATCGCTGGTTAACTTTAAAATTTACTTAGAGATTATCCTATGAAAAATAAATCTCTAATTTAGTGAAAAAAACATATATTTAACGTTACAAAAGCGAAGAATCTTAATTTTTTTTATTGAATTTTTGTAAATTTTTGTATGGAGTTATTTAATGATAATTTTTTATATTTACTAAATTTAATTTTGTGAAAAGCTTAATTTTTATTAATTAATGAATATAGAAGGTTATTATTATTATTATTATTATTTTAAGCAGTAAATAAGTGGATGTAATTTGACAAAAACTATATTATATTATTAATATTATTTTAAACCAATAATTAAATATTTTGTTAGTTTAAGTTTAATTTAACTTTTAGAAAATAAAAAATTCAGCTCGAGTAAATAGGACTCACTCGAAAATAACATTACAATCCAAAATAGATAAAAATATTTAATATATATAATATGTTTGGCAAATATTTTATATTTGAATTTTATGATTTTAAGTAATTTAAAATTTTAGAAATTGAGATAAACATAACAACAAAATATAATATTTTGGCAACTTATTATATTATCATTATTTAAATAACAATTAATTTTAAAATATCACTCTCCTAATAAATATTGGATGTAGGATACTTTTCAGTAATTCAATGCATTAAATTGGAATTATACAAGTGAAGTCTTTTAAAAAAGTTATGAAATTTAGAAATTTTTAGGGATTAGATTATTGGTTTTTTTTTTTTTTTTTTGAAAAACTAAAAATTATTTGATTACAAATCAAGTTACAATTCAAATGAATGATTAAATTAGATTATTATTATTATTATTTCAATTTAGTTTCGGATGAATTTTTTTAAAAATTAATTATTATTATTTTTTTAAAATAGAATTACAACTCAAATTAATCTTACTGTAATTATATATTCTAAAAAGAATATTTAAATAGATATTGAAATTTTATAAAATTTTAGTTAGTAATTTGATAACTCAATAAATTAAAAATTTTAAATTGTTAAAAAGATTTTTTTCAATCAAATGGAATGCATATAAGAAATAGATGATGTTTTTTGTTTTATTTTTTCTAATTATATATTCTAAAAAGAATATTATTATTATTATTATTAAAAAAAGGATAAGAGTAGGCAGGAGGGTGAAAAAAGAATATTATCGTGTAGGACAGGTAAACTGGTACGGACACGTGAAAAGCGGGACATGAACTCATGAGTTTCCAATTGGTTGCCACGAAACCAACCCCGCCTTTTTTATATTTTCCACGAACAAGGAATAAATAAATACCTTTTTTAATTAATTAATAATAAAAATAAAAAATCTGGTGGTGTAATTTGCAAGAAGCTAGGGTGCGTACGCAGTCTATTGCTGGTCAACGCTTGACCGTCGTTTCTATTCTCTCTTATTCCCAGAAGTTTCTTCCACTTCCATTACACATATTTTCAATGATTTTTATTAATAAAAAAAACTTAGGGACAAAACGGTCAAATTTATTTGAACTGATTGTCAATCTTCGTGTGAACCTAAATTTGCGTGATTAATTGCATGCATCTTATTTTTAATTTAAAACCAGAAATTTATAATTATTTTAATCTATATATTTCAATTTTAATTTGCTCGGCTACATAAATTTTGTAATTTGGAAAGATATTTTAATTTAATCTATAAATTAGCAAAATATTTATTTTATATATTTCAAATTTAATCATAAATTTTGTAATTTGGAAATATTTTATTAACGTGGGTTGAGGTATTTTGAAATTTAAATACTAAAATTAAAAATACATAAATAAATAAATAAAATGAAATAAGTATGAACTAAAAATAAAATTTAAATATTAACATACTGCTTCCCCTGGCAGCACAACATTTGAATTGCTCTCCCACAACCCAATTTTCACGGTTTAGGCGGCTCCCATTTCACTCCCGCTACTATGGGAATCGCTTTTGCTTTCTTTTCCTATGGCTACTATTGCTTTCTTTTCCTATGGCTACTAAGATGTTTTAGTTCGCCAGGTTGTCTCTTGCCTGCCCATAAATTCAACAGCAGTTTGAAAGGTTGACCTATTCGGAAATCTCCAAGAGCATAATTATTGAAGATATTTAGTTTTAAAATACAGTTTATCTAACATATTTAATCTTTGATTATAGGCTAATATCTTGTATGGTTGAGGGTATTTACATTACATCTAGGTATCGTATTTGACCCTTGATTATAAACACTAACACAGTGTATGTGTGTATCCGTTTATTGTTTTCATTTATTTTGACGAATGAAATAGTGAAAGAATTAAAGGCCTTTATTGGGTAAGATGTATGAAGTTTTACAGGACTATATGTATAATGCTTCTCATCCCATCAAAACTTACAGGACTGACAGAAGGTGGTGGGAAGAACACAAATGATTGACAAAAAAAGGGAGGCAAAACTGGGGAAACCTTGGCAGCTTCACCGATAGTTTGGGTAAGAAGGAGTGTACATACAGCTCTCGGCATGCTTCACCAAGTCCTTTGGTTGAGGAAGGCGACCGGCCAAACCAAGTTCATAAGCCTTTGCAGCTACTTTTGCTGCAATATTTGCTGAAATCTTTCTGATGTTGGTAAATGGAGGGAATATGAGTCCCTTGTCCAAGTTCTCTTGTGTAACCTGTGCAGCAAGAGCTTCCGCTGTTCCAACAAAACAATGAACTTAAAGAACAGATTGAGAATCATCTTTGGAAGAGACCAGAGGTTACGCGATATCAGAACAGGTTACCACTTTGTATGGATGGTATCACAATTGGTAAGTTAAGTCTATTGATCATTTTGAATTGTGTTCATGTGAGATCCCATATCGGTTGGGGAGGAGAACGAAACATTCTTTATGAGGGTGTGGAAACCTCTCCCTAGCAGACAATTCTCAAAAACGTTGAGGAGAAGCCCAAAGAGGATAATATCTGCTAGCGATGGGCTTGGGCCCTTACAAATGATATCATAGCCATACACCCGGCAATGTGCTAGTAAGGAGGCAAAGCCCCGAAGGGGGAGTGGACATGAGACAGTATGCCAACAAGGATGCTGGGTAGATTGAGGGGTTCCACATCGATTGGAGAAAGGAACATGTGCCAACAAAAAATTTTTTTTAAGGGTCTGGAAACCTTTTCCTAACAAACACGTTTTAAAAATCTTGAAGGAAAACTCAAGAGAGAAAACCCAAAAACCCAAAAAAGACCATATCTAGGGTGTTACACTGTCAAATTCAAATTCATGAGCTCATCAAGTCACTTTTGCACTTACAGGCGGCTAGGAGCATGTCATCACGAACACGGATGGTACCGGACATGATCAATCCAAGACCAAAGCCAGGAAAAATATAAGCATTATTTGCCTGAATAACAAAGGAAAGCAGTAATAACGTGAGACCTCAGAACATCACCATGAAAGGGTCAAATGAATATATAAAGACCTGTCCAGGTACAAAAACATTTCCGTTGTATTCAACAGGGTCAAATGGACTGCCGCTAGCAAAAATGGCACGGCCCTGCAAGAGGAAAAGGAACCATATAAAATGAAGTTACCATCGACAAGGCGACAACTAGGACGTAGAATTGTGTGTATGTAGTACCTCAGTCCATGTATACGCCTCTTCAGCAGTGCATTCAGACTGAGAAGTGGGGTTTGAAAGAGCAAGAATAATTGGTTTCTGCAACCCACAACAAAGTTATGACATATACTTTCTCTTATGAATCTGGTTGGTTTTGCAAATAAAACACCTTGTTAATGGCAGCCATCGCCTCCACGACGTCCTTAGTGAATGTCCTTCCCACGCCTGATGTCCCAATCAACACTGTTGGTTTGATATCCTGAAAAGAAATGGGAACTTTCATTGGTTTATGCAAAAATTTGAATGGAGATGGTAAGAAAGAGACCTTCACAGCATCAACAAGATCTTGAATTGGTTCGTGCTCGTGTGCCCAAGGTTTCTTGAAGTGTTGGAGTGATTCCTTGCGAGAACTAACAATGAGACCCTGGAAACAAGAAGATTAGCACTAGCAAAAGGAGGAACTTCCTTTCATTTTCTTTTGAACTACCTTCGAATCGACAAGCCAGATTTTCTTGCGAGCATCTTCCAAAGGGGTATTCATCTACAAAATGAATTCGAGTTAGTTTTGTTCATGTGATAACCTTTAGTGGTTCCGACAACAAATTTTTGGTAACATTCCAAGTCCACTACTAGCAAATATTGTCCACTTTGGCCCGTTACGTATCATCATTAGCCTCACAGTTCTAAACGCGTCTACTAAGGAAAGGTTTCCACACCCTTATAAGAAATGTTTTATTCCCCTCTCCAACCGATGTAGAATATCACAATTCACTCCCCTTGGAGGACAACATCCTCGCTGGCACACCATTTGGTGTCTGATTCTGATATCATTTGTAGCAGTCCAAACCCACTACTAGCAGATATTGTCCTCTTTAGATTTTCCCTTCCGGACTTATCCTCAAGGTTTATAAAATGCGTATGTAGAGACAGGTTTCACACCCTTATAAGGAATGTTTTGTTCCCTTTTTCAACCAATGTGGGATCTCACAAGAATTCACCATTATATATGGCCATTACCTTTTTGAACATCTCTAATGCAATGAGTTCTGCAATCCCTGTGCCAGCCTACAAGCAACAAACACGGGAAGTCAATCGAAATCCTTTACTATTAAGAGAGTTCGATACGGCTTTAGATACACAACCTCTCCAGCGCCAAGAAATAGGAATTTATGGTCAGCCAATGTTCCACCAACTAGCTTCAGAGCTGCAATAAGCCCTGCAAGGACCACGGATGCTGTCCCCTGTTGAGTAATAGTTTATACATTAGAATGCCAGTTCTGAAACGTAAACTAATACACTGGGAATCACTTAATAATAACCTGAATATCATCGTTAAAAACAAGGTGAGTCTTGCCATATTTTTCTAACAGATCGAAGGCATTGTGGTTAGCGAAATCTTCAAACTGGCAATATGGTAAGCCAATATCAGAGGCAGAGAACCAAAAGTCCAAGTAGAAGAAGACTTGGTTTATATTGTTGTCTCACTACAACTGTACCTGAATGAGAATTTTCTCTCCATAATTCTGTTTGACTGCAGCCATGAATTCGTGGACAAGCTCCTTGTATTCCTAAAGCAAGAAAAACAAAGGTGAAAACTTCACTATTATCACAAACCGTAGGCTGGTTAACCAAATACTACAAACCTGACCAGTAGCCCTCTTTTGCCTGAGCCCAATGTAGAACTCATCATTCAACAGCTTGTCATTGTTCGTCCCAACGTCGATCGTCACAGGCAAGCACTGAAACAATATAACTTTGTGATAAGATAACAATTTTATTATTCCCAGTAAGAAAGTCAAAACATGTCTTGCGCATTCATCTATACAGCTTTCTGAATCCTGAGCTTTTGTGATAGAATTAAAGACACGGGGCAGTGTGCCAGCGAGGACACTGGACCCTCAAAGGAGGTGGATGTGAGATCCTACATCGGTTGGAGAGGGGAACATCGAGGACGCTGGCCTCCAAAGAGGTGGATTATGAGATCCCACGTCGGTTGGAGAGGGAAACAACGAGGATGCTGGCCCCCAAAAGGGGTGGACTGTGAGATCTCACATCGGTTGGAGTGGGGAACAATGAGGATGCTGGGCTTCCAAAGGGGTGGATTATGAGATCCCACATCAATTAGAGAGAGGGAAACGAACCATTCCTTATAAAGGTGTGGAACCCTCTCCCTAGTAGACGTATTTTAAAATCTTGAGGGGAAGCCCGATAGGTGAAGTCCAAAGAAGACAATATCAGCGAGCGGTGGGTTTAGGTTGTTACATACATAGTTCCACGGACAAAGGAATAAGATAGAAAATACTCACTGCAGAAGGACGAACACCGCCAAGAGCACTATAGAGGGAAAGCTTTCCAACTGGAATCCCCATGCCCTGAAGTATTCCATCAAATTTAAGAACATAAATAGCAAAAAGGCAACAGTAATCAGAATCCACAGCTATACCTGGCAGCCAAGATCACCCAATCCAAGGATCCGTTCACCATCAGTAACAACAATGACTTGAATACCCATCTCAGGCCAGTTTCGCAAAACCTCTAAGATCTTCCCTCTGCACACAAACTTCTTAGTCTAAGTGTAACAGTGACTAACATAAGAACAGTGAAAGGCTACGCTTAACCATACTTCTCCCTCAAACTAATATAAAGACCCTGTGGCCGCCTGAAGATGCTTCCATATTTCTGGCATGCTTCTCCTACAGTTGGAGTATAAACCACCGGAAGCAACTCCTCAACATGCTCAATCAGAAGCTTATAGAACAACTTTTCATTGCTTTCCTGAACAAAGTAAACATAATTGATCAACTCAAATAATTGATCGTCGTTCTTAAGAATTGTTAAGAGAAGAGTCCCACATCGACTAATTTAGGGAATGATCATGAGTTTATAAATAAGGAATACATCTCCGTTGGTATGAAACCTTTTGAGAAAATAAAAAATAAAATCATGAAAGCTTTTGAGAAAATCAAAAATAAAATCATGAAAGCTTATGCTCAAAGTGAACAATATCATATCATTACATAGAGTCATGATTTCTAATGATCAAATTTGCAAGTAAAAACTTACTATTTCATCTAAATCTATTTCTCAAATACTCTCATTAATTTCCAAATATCTAAGGCTATCGTGAAAAAGGGGTCATTGCTACCTGAAGATCCATCATGGCCATGTATTTCTGCAGAGGAACTTGATACTGCCGTATCCTGTACAACAACTTTTTCACCTGAGATTTGAGAGGCAAATAATTACTAATATTTGTATACCAAAAAGCACGGCGACCCAAAATTGGACTCAGAAAAATGATTGGAGATCACATAGATAACCTGAAGATCTTGAGAAATGACAGTAGGAGGCAAAAGACCACGCAAGTAGTGAGTATCTCTTTCTTTATCCGTGAAGGCTAAACCCTTATTGTGATGTGGGTTTCGCAGCAAATTATATCCACTAGAGAATATATAAACAATTATGATCATGATTGAAGAAAGTAATGAAGATTCAAGAATTGAATATGATTTTCCCTCACCTAGCAACAGAGACGGTCCAGGGAGTGACCCCCTGATCCTCCATGGCCATGACCTCGCCGTAGAAGTCAAGAACCCCATCGTTAACGGCGGAAACGGGGTCCAACTCAAGAACCGAATCCTTCAATGAGCTCTCCATCAAAACCCTGTCGTTTCTTTCTGATATCACAGAAGAAAGCTTCAACGATTCCGAGTGCCGTTTCAGAGATAAAGGACTACAAGAACTGGAAATGTGCGTCTTATTCTGTTCAAACAAAATCCACAAGATTAGCAAAGAAATGGAAGAAACCAGTGGATTAGAAAGAAATCATTCCAAAGAATAGTTTGGTGGGGAATGAGTAGAATGTGTTCATACCAGAAAAATGCATCGATTCAACGAAGCCATGGCGAAAAGCTCGTGGAGGAATGAGAATCTTTTGGGGGGAAAAACAAGTGGGTGCGAGATTAACCGGGAGAAACCAATGAGAGAGTCTTATGGAAGCGAGACGAGGGAGGGAGGGAGGGAGGGCGGGAAGCGTTTCTTATGGGTTGCAGAAAAATGCGAGCAATCCATGCATCCAATATGTGACGCTTACAATCGCACTAAAAAAAATAATTACTTATTAAGATTTGAAAAGTTTTTATTGTAGTTTTCGAATTTTATATAAATGTGATAGTCTAATATAGATTGTCACGACCATTATAAGATTTACGATGATTTGAGTAATTTACAATATTTTTAGTAAATTTAGAAGCGATTGATAAAGTTGAATGCTTATGTTCGTGATTGTAACGAATTTATCGTTTTTTTGACCATTATAAACGAGAATCAATATTTTTTTTGGACTCTTAAAACGTCAAATTTTAGATTTAAAAAAAAAAGAATAGATTCTAATAAAAAAAAGAATATATATATATATATATATATATATATATATATATATATACCTGTAATAAGCCATTAGAAAATTAGAAAATTATAATAAATAAAAATTCACTTAAAATAATTATTTTGTTCTCAAAATTTATAAATTAAATTTATAATTTTATATATTTTTGTGGAAATTTTTGCTATTTGAGATTATATTTTAAAAAAAAAAACTATTTTATTTGTATTAAACTAAAAAAAAAAAAAAAAAACTTTAACAAAAGGAAATTTTGTACTAAAAAAATGACATTGAAATTTAAAATTATAAAAATAAAATTCGAATTAAAATTGAAGAGAGGTTAAAAATGTAATTTATCATATTTTTTAAATTTGTGATTGTGTAGCTCGTAAGGAGGAAAGTCCGAGTAATATGTCCCAATCCAAGAAGTAGACTTCTTACTTCTAATCACTTCTCTCTACGCTCTGCATAATTTCTTCTGTATTTGCCGATGGAGTATCGGAATTCGTCAAGGGATTTGGATGATTCTCCATTCTAATTCACACTAGCTGAGGCAAGTTCTTATGATATGCTTGAGTTTATGTCTTTCAATCGATGCTTCCGAGTCTAGTTTTCCTGTTCGAGTTATGCGCAGAACTTCCTTACTGGATTTTCTGATTTGAAATTGCCGATTTCGATTTTGTATTTCCATTTATTGTGCCGCTAATTGTACAGACTGTGGAGATGGATAATATCTTAAAGAACTCTGAAGATCGAACACTTGGTCAAGTGTTTTTCCAAGATTTCGTACTTCATTTCAGGTTGTAGTGTGCAATTTTTGTAAAGCTTTGATCGCTTCTTCAAACGAGTATTTGTGCAATCCATCATCGTGTCTTTCCTTTCATGCTTGCTTTTTCTGCAGTTGCTCCCCGTGGCGCGCTACAAAATCTCCCGTCACTGCGGTACAGGTCTTCGATTTTTTTCTTATCCATTGTGTCTGTTGATATTTGGTAATTCTTATCTGCTTAGGTGCATGACTGGTTCGAGAATCAGAAAAATTAATTGCGAAGTAGTTGTAAAAAAGCGCGGCCTCCACTTCCACCTCTACATTTGCCATCACCTTCGCCTCCGACTCCGCCTCCGAAACTTGTACTTAATTATTCGGATACTACTTTTTTAACTGACGCACCGTCATCTGAACCACCTGAATTCAAAGGTAAATTCCGCATCATTGCCGATGAGTTGTAGAAATTCTATCTGAAGTGCTCCTTTGGATTGCCAATGTGCTCCGGTTATTGGTGTATGCATAGTTTTATATCTTTTGGCTCTACGATGGTTTTGTTTTATTATCTTGCACGACACGAGGCTGGTAGAGGGAGGGGCTGCACGTTGATTGGTAACTCATTCGAGCCTAGAATTATTAAAGTTGCTGTGTGCACGATGATTGGTAATTTATTTGTACTTATATTATCAAGTCTTTTATCAAGAGATTTTAAGTGGAAAGATCCATAGGCAATGAAACTTGAAACTCGCAGTTCTGAAGCATGTTAGTTTAAGCTTAGCAGACGAGCAGGGATTGCTATAGCCTGTGATTATGGTTAGTGCTTCTTGCATTGCATACCAAGCACATCTAGAGTCTCTGCATTCTGCTGCTTATAGTAGTATTGACGTTCAACAATGAACCTCGGGTTTCTCATTGAGAAAACCTGGTCCTGGCAGTTTCAACTTGTGTCGTTTTGATGCCACGATCCTGTGTTCAAACCTTCACAGAATGGTGACATCGAGGCTGAACCAGGAAGTCTGTGTTCTAGTCATAACATGCACTGTGATTTGAAAACTGCAGTGTCTCCTTGCATGATTTGATCTTTGGCTAATATACTATAATTTGCAGTTCAACAGTAAGTTTCAGTTTTTACACCTGTTGGCAAACTTGAAATCGTTACTTGAAAATTTAATGCAGGCAATGCAACTGATCTTTCAAGATTAGCATTCAAAGCCTTTTCGTCAATAGACCATGCATGGTGAGAAAAATTCAGAGTAGAAAATACAATGCTGTTACATTACATGAGCTTGATCCATGATGGAATCATATGTTCACATTCATACAAGCACAATCTCCATAGATTATTGACATATTATAGACGATAATCGCTCCCTAGTCAGATGTAGTGCCTCAAGTTTAGCTACCCATAATCCTAGCACTGTGCAAGTACCTTGAGTTTATTTTCATTTCACACTTGGAAAAGCTAGTGGAAGACAAATCTCCGTATAAACAATGCTAACTTCTCAGACATCTATTATTTGCAGCCATTCAGGATGTTACACCCTTGATAAGACTGACATTCAGTTCAGATCCTGTAAGAAAGCTTTGCAAAACTCGGGATATAGGTTACTTAGCTCCACAGAGTTAGAAACAAAGTTGAAAAAGTGGTTGAAAGTTGGCTGCAATGATATTTACATGGTAACTTTGGTACATGTGATAATAATTAGATTTTGATTTTTATCGTCTAACATAGAGCTTTTATACTCAATTTTCTTACCCTGATGCCAATGTAAAGTTGATGGTTCATGCCTATACATGTCGAAACCATAAAACCTCTAGCATTATTCCCTGCTTCAACTAACCCGTAATGTCTATGTTTAGTTATCTTTCTCTATTTACAGTTAGTATTATCATTGAGATGTATCTATTACTTTTGTTGATGTATGGTATATGGCAATGGCATAGATTATGGATCTATCATATATCATTATCTGATGAGAAGATTTTATGAAATGCTTGTCTCTTCTAGTTTCAACTCGATGGTTTACAGAAAAGTCATTGATACTTGAGTAAGCACATCAGTCTGCTTTCAGCAAGCTCTGTTCTGCCTGATCTTCTTTGGTCAAGACTCGTGATTTTTGCTATTGAATTGAGGAATCTTACTAATGTTCCTTTGATTTCTTAGGTGTGACGTTGCTTCGCTCCTCAGTTACCGAGTTAATTGCCATGGAGAACTAGTAAGGTTTCCCACACAATTCATATACTTCTTTAGAGAGTTGTAAATAACATAAAATACTTGATTGTTTTCTACTCTTTGTGGCTTATTACTATAAAACCATCAGAAAAAAGTTCGCAGATATTTAGATGAAGAGAAAAGCCTCATAATCTGCCGTGCTCTGTATTCTATTGCATTGGAACAAACTTCATGTCATCACAATCTCCCTAAGAGGGAGGAAAAGAAAAAGAAAAAAGAAACCAACGAGAACTGGAGAGAGGAACCAAACAGAAAAGAAAAAAAAAAGTGCAAAAAATGCCAGAAGGCGAAACCTAAATCCAGATTCTATAACCCAACCAACCACGGGAAAGAATATAAGTACTATAATTGTCTGGTTACCAGGAAAGCTTCATGCCGAACGGTAATTGCTCATTATTTTATTATTATAAAAAATTAACAAGATCATCATATAAAGGGAGAAAGAAGTCATTGGTGCGAGAAATGTTTCAAATCATGTCATCTTACTTAGTTTTATGGCTTATTTATACAGGAAAGACATGATCATGCGCTCTACTTCCTTATTTGCTTAGGAAAAAGTAAATTTGTGGAGATTGTGCTGCAGGCCTTCAGAGTACAATTCAGACCAACTTCAATGTAAATGGAATCCCGAATCTTCATTCCTGAGAAGGTACATTTACAAGCTGTTGCTTGGGATTTACCGTAAAAAATTGGGTACTGTCAGAGCTACAAACTGAACCGAAAATACTTCACTCTGTTAGTAAATATTATGCAACCTGTCTGCGCACAGAAGGATACATGTTCTCGTTTAGGAAAGGGGGCACTCGAAAAGTGGTTCAATTTTTCAACATAGACCCTCAAATTGAAATGCTGGGGATCAAACTTCATAGAGGTACTTCTTTCCTTTTTCTCACTTGTCTTCTAGTGTGAGTGCGTGTACAGAGAGGGAGAAAAGATTTGAACAAATTGCAAGGCTTAGGTTATCATGGACAATGGGGCAAATATTTCTATAAATGGCAATAATTCACAAATATTCTAACAGTTGGTATTGACTTAATTACATTTAATTCGACTAGGTCACCAAAAGCAGTTCTCTAAGCTTGGATAGCCCCCTGAATACCAAGGTCTCTGCGTGTGTCATTTTTCTTTTTTCTTTGTTCTCTCTTTTTGTTAGAACAGATAATAGAAGTTCACGAAACTGTTCTTCCATAACATACCGACGCAATATAAAGGTTCTTTGCCCATTTCTCCTGCAGTAGGAAATGATAGATTTAGACAATTTAATAAAGGGAACAGAATCATCACCATCATTTACTGAATCTGAGTTCAATACCTTGACATGGGTACTTGGGAATGCTGATGTTCTAAGTGTCTCTTGTGTTTCGTCAGCAGGCTTTCGCCTTGGTACGCTGAGAACGAGGGCTGCTTGGTCACTGGTTGCTGCAGTTGCAGTGATTCGATACCCACAGTCCCATCGGCGATGAATACCTTCACTAGGGTATAAGAAATCCAACTCGACCACCTGAAGATTAAGAACATCGGTCAGGTCAGTTTTGCACATTGTAATTTTGTATAACCAGGTTAGATGATATTATCCTTTCATGATGTGAAAAATAACCTGATCAGAAAATCCTGCACCACGGGACATAACAACGCCCCACCGACTTCCCGAGGTGGCCATTGCCGTTACATAGAATCCCTCTCTCCACTTTTTGTTAATCCATTTGAAAGGAAAAGAATCACTGACTTTGTACGACTGTTGCAAGTACTGTGTGCCTGGAATCATTAAATAGAGATTCAATTGATAAAAGGAAAATGGCATCATTCTTATATAAGATGGGGTAAAATATTCCAACCGACCCTTAGACATTACAACCAATGAGCTCCCATTAACGACTCCAGCTACTGCTGTGATGTAATAGTTCTTTTCCCATTGCTCCATGATCCATTCCTTCAGTTCAAAACCAAGTCATCAATAACTAACTTCAAACCCAATAAAGGTTATTGACGCCATCTGGGGCAAAAAATAAAAGCAACCTTGTGAAGAAAATGGGGTGAAAGTTCATAAACTTGTGATGAAAACCCAGTGCCAGCATCCATGATTAAGGCCCATAAATTTTGACATGAAGCCACACTACTTATAAACAAGCCATCCTCATTCCCTTTCTCAATATGCTGCGCAAGCCTTACATCAGCTACATTATAGTGATACCTAAACAACAAAATCATTCGTTATTTCAAATAGCTAGATCGATTTTACCTTGACTTTTATACGAGCTATGAGATTAGCATCATTATAAACATGCATGAATACCTTTGCTTCATTGGCCGCCGAGCATTATAAACACTGATCCATTGGGTTGCAGGCATGCCCATACGAACCTTCTTCTTTGGTTGTTCATCGTCTTCCTCCTCCAAAGTCAATCTGCCTCGCTTATGCCCCACTTGACAAATGAGCTTCAGAAGATGGAAGTTCAGCAATAAGATGTCAAACCTCGAACTTAACTAATTGGGGCGGGGGGGCACAAATTTCTATCTGAGCATCATACCTTTTGAGCACCATCTGTATTTATTGGCCTGATTTCAGGATTTGGGCCAATGATTCCATCAAAAAGTGAAATATATTTTGCATAATTAGGTTCTTCATCAAACTTCAAGTTCACCACATATTCAACAAACTGTTTGAAGGGCTGTGGACAAAAGCAACATAAAGTCTCTGGAGAAGTAGCCATCTTCTTCTTGCAAACAAGGAATCCTTTGTTCTCTCCCTGTAACCAGCTTCACGGTTAGGTATTATATAATTTCTTTTCCAAAGAAAAGCATCATCAACATGGTAAAGGAAATTATATACAGGACAAAAGAGACTATTCAACTTAAGAAAAGGTCAACCTGATATCCTTGCCATGGTAGACGACCACGAAGAAGGAAAACTAGGGTGTAGGCAAGAGATTCTAGATCATCTCTCCGGCTACCAGTTCTTCCTAAATGAGCATGTACACTAGCATAGCGCACTGTTCCTCTGTCGAAGAAGAACACAAATGAACCACGACCATCAACAACAGACAGAATCAGGAATACAAAAGCTTGAGAGGATGGAAAAGAAAGAGGTTTATAGAATAAAACAGGATAAAGGTGAACCTGAATACATCAGGTCTCTGATCATATTCAACATGCTGGCCAGAACCATCGCGCCATCTAGTTGCTGACAACGATAAAAACAAAGAGTAATGCAACATGCAAATGAATATTAAATGAAGAAAGGTGCAAGTCATGGTAGTATACCTAGACCAAGATCGACCAAAAACAACTTTTTCTCATCCGGGGTCCCTGAAGGACCAAGCAGAAAATTTTCGGGTTTGACATCACCATGAATATACCTAATGAAGCAATACAATTTTAAATTAGGTATACTAATAATAGAAATCAGATCTAAATGGCTCCCAACACGACCCTTACCCGCGAGAGTGCATTTTTTCCAATATGGATATTGCTTCAATTGCAATGCATGCAACCATTTCAACAGACATTCTGAAATAAGAAGAAAAAAAAAAAAAAACTAAAACCACGTTCAAATGGAAGTTGAGCAAAGTTTCGTTTTTACTCACGTATGAGCGTTATTATTCCAAACATCCCACAAGCTCGGCCCCAGCATATCCATAACCTAAAACATTAAAGTGGCATGTAACGACCTAAAATATGGCCTTCAAAACAATGTAAGATGTAACCAGATAAGAACATACCATAATATAGTAGTCACCTTGTCTGCCCTTGTAGTGCACCCGTGGTACACCATGACTACCACCAAGAGTGCTGTGGGATAGATACAGTATAAGAATCACAACAAAAAGTAATAAAACAAAATCAATGGAGAGAGTTTATACAACCACTCACTTATAAACTTGCCACTCATAAGGTGGTCCATAATTACATCCCTTGCTACTTCTATGCTCGAATTTCAAAGCCACCTATCATCAGAAACTTTGTCCAATGTAACACATGGTGGGAATTGATGTGTGAATCAAAATTATCCTGATGCTTACCTCCACAGCACCCGGGCCGGTTCTCTCATTTGTATTAACAGTGGAGGCACGCCGTCCAACATAAACCTGCCCAAATCCACCTTTACCTAGCTTTCTATCTATCCTGTAGAGTGGGGAGCCACCCACCTGAATCTGTAAGGTTTTTTAGGGAAAAATATTAATGGGTAACAATAAATGAAGCTACTTCTAAAAGCCCTTTCTAAAAAAAACATACCATAAACTCTGACTTTGGCCATAAACTAAAATGAAGAATGATAATGACTAAAATGTAAAGTTATGCAGAATACCCATGTCAAGAAAACTCAAGGGAGCTCAAAGTTATGATAATCCAACATTGTCAGTCAATAAGGATATGGTCATGAGATGAGCCATTAAAAAACTGGGTGTGAAACTAAGATGGATCAAGTAAATCTATTGTGAAGTAGGGAAATTTCCAAACATGATATGAAATATAACTAAGTCTATTCTCATATATAGTCCTCCATTCATTCACTCAACAAATTCAGCGTACTATGCAACAACAGATGTATGGATTCTTGCAGCTGTCTAAAATTTGAACTCATTTTTGCAGCTGTCTAAAAACTAACCTTTTCAGGAAGTGGTGCTGTGCTTCCCTCCTCTTCAACAGCGTGAGCTTTATCATTGCTTCCAGCTCCACTGTCGTGATCATCCATTTTCTTCTCCCCTGCTTCTTCCTTCTTGGCTCCACCAGCAGCGTCTCCTATTTCAGCAATTCCAAACTCGTCTCCACCTCTGACACCAAAAGCTTCCTTCGACACCCGATTCTCTTCTGAAGTCGCTACCACAGCAGCTACCTTATCATTGACCGGTGGCGGCAGCTGATCGTTTCCTTCTTGCAACGGTTTCTCGTTATTATTAGGCACCACTTTTACTGCCGCTGCTGCCTTCCTCCTCCTTGTTCTCGTCGCAATGGCCTCCCCTTGCGGCTCGATCGGACTCAACACGTCTATCTTCTGCTTTGCCCGGCCCCTGCGCACTCCGCTACGCAGTACCGGCATCGTTCATCCTTCAAGAATCATCCTACGCTCAAAGCCCCAAACAGAGACCAAGATTCTCCTCATAAATCCACAAGAACACCACAAACCTAGTTTACTCCTCTAACCACACCCCACCGAACTCAAAACCCCAACCAATTAGGAACAGGCAAAGATGCAACCCTATAAAGCCGATTTCGACAATAAAAGAAGAGCCGTAAGAGAGAAATACAACCAAAAGTTTCAGAGGAATGTACCAAACGCCGAATTAAGCACAGGAACAGATATCTCGCAATACAAACCCCCGACCGTTAATCACCGCTGAGAAATTTCGTTGTCGGAGTGATTTCAGCGCGGGAGAAGAGGGGGGAGAGAGAGAGAGAGAGAGAGAGAGAGAGAGAGAGAGATCCCGACGGTGACCGAGAGGGAAAAGGGTTCAAGTGCCTGCACAGTGGAAAAGCGTACAACGTGTCAGTTTATCATTGAACCGGCATTGGCCCAAACCCGAATCTTAGCCCAAACCCGAATCTCAGCCCAATACATAGATTTATGGGCCTGGACTTCGGTTGCATGTTGGGTCAGCCCAACCCATTAAAGTCATAAAAGCTATTTTCTGATTTTCTAAAAATTAAATTAGATTTAGTTTATTGTAGATTGAATTTTATGTGTCAATTAGCATTGTTTAAATATTTTCTAAATATGTCTATTAAAAATTATTTAATGGTTAAAAAAAACAATTTTGTTCTCTAATTAATTTTTTAGTTCAACATGAAACGGATTAACATTAGCGTTCAAACGTCTGGTCAAGAGTGCATATTTTATGGCAATCGGGCTACAGTATAGCCCAAGCTAGAGTAAAAGATCCCTTAAAATTTCGGGTACAGCCCAAGCTATGGTACTACTTTCAAGCCTTC